AAGGGCGCTCCGAATCTGGAGGCTTATTCGGCCCAAATGTGAGCATACACGAAGGGTGCTCCGAATTCGAAGTCTTATTCTTTGGTTTGGCCAATTGTGAGCATGCACGAAAGGTGCTCCGAATTCGGAGTCTTATTCTTTGGTTTGGCCACATGTGATCATGCACAAAGGGCGCTCCAAATTTGGACTCTTGGTTATGGCCAATCGTGATACACGAAGGGCGCTCTAAATTCGGAGGCTTTTTTGGCCCAAACGTGAGCATGCACGAAGGGCACTCTAAATTCGGAGTCTTATTCTTTGGTTTGGCCAAACATGAGCATGCACGAAGGGCGTTCCGAATTCGGAGTCTAATTCTTTGGTTTAGCCAAACGTGAGCATGCACAAAAGGCACTCCGAATTCGGAGTCTTATTCTTTGGTTTGGCCAAACGTGAGCATGCACGAAGGGCGCTCTGAATTCGGAGGCTTATTCGGCCCAAACATGAGTATGCACGAAGGGCGCTCCGAATTTGGAGTCTTATTCTTTGGTTTGGCCAAATGTGAGCATGCACGAATAGCGCTCTGAATTCGGAGTCTTGGTTATGGCCAATCGTGATACACAAAAGGCGCTCCGAATTCGGAGGCTTTTTCGGCTCAAACGTGAGCTTGCACGAAGGGCACTCTGAATTTGGAGTTTTATTCTTTGGTTTAGCCAAACGTGAGCATGCACGAAGGGCACTCCGAATTTGGAGTTTTATTCTTTGGTTTGGCCAAACATGAGCATGCATGAAGGGTGCTCCAAATTCGAAGTCTTATTCTTTGGTTTGGCCAAATGTGAGCATGCACGAAGAGCGCTCTGAATTTGGAGTCTTATTCTTTGGTTTGGCCAAATGTGAGCATGCACGAAGGGCGCTTCGAATTCGGAGGCTTATTCGGCCCAAATGTGAGCATGCACGATGGGCGCTCCGAATCTGGAGGCTTATTCGGCCCAAATGTGAGCATGCATAAAGGGCGTTCCGAATTCGGAATCTTGGTTATGGCCAATCGTGATACATGAAAAGCGCTCCGAATTCGGAGGCTTATTCAACCCAAACGTAAGCATGCACGAAGGGCGCTCCGTATTCGGAGGCTTATTTTGCCCAAACGTGAGCATGCATAAAGGGCGCTCTGAATTTGGAGTCTTGGTTACGGCTAATTATGATATACACGAAAGCCGCTCCGAATCCGAGGACTTATTCGGCCCAAACGGGAGCATGTACAAAGGACGCTCTGAAGTCAGAGTCTTGGTTATGGCCAATTGTGATTTATGCAAAGGGCGCTCTGAATTCGAAGACTTTTTCATCATTCAACCATTTTCAATAAGACAATAATAAAAAAAAGCATATTGTAATATGGAATACGTTGATGAATACATGTTTGTATAGCAGCAAAAATAAAAAATGAACTAGCATGTTGTACAAGTTGGATTAATGATAAAATTTACACAAGTGGGTCGAATTCTAAGGGCGTGGTAAACTTTTGCCAGCCATGTCTGAAAGCCAATACGCCCTCATTCCGGCAATCAAATCAATCTGGTAAGGATTGTCTCGGTTGGGGCCTAATTTACCATCTCTCGGATTTTTAGTAGCTGGAAGTACTTTCTTAGGGACCAGTTCTCCAGGTGCATAATGACGCAACTGCAAGCACTGGTTATACGACTTGGCGAGCTGCTGTTGATACCGTGCCATGCACGCAAGAGCCCGATCTTGGCGTTCGTCAATCAAAGTTAGATCTAAGGCCATCATCGTGTCATTACACCCCATGTCAAAAACCTTGGATTTTAGTGTGGACAGGCCGATTTCAAGAGGGATAATAGCCTGTGTCCCAAAGCACAAGGCGAACGACGTTTCTCTAGTAGGCCCACAACACACTGGCAACTCTTCAACCCACTTGCCTTTAGCCTTCTCCAATCGTTTCTTGATGCCGTCCAGGATCACTTTATTGGAGTCTCAGCCTGACTGTTGGTTTGCGAGTATGCCGATGAGGAAAAATAAGGCCGGATGCCGTATATATTGCATAACTCCCAATAGACGCCACAGTCGAATTGGGTGTTATTGTCTGATACTAGTGCTCTTGGTATGCTGAATCAAGTTATAATGCTTTTCCATATAAAGCGTTTAACATCGACATCTCGGATATGTGCCAATGCCTCTGCTTCGACCCACTTCGTGAAATAGTCTGTTGTGACGATCATGAATCATTTGTTTCCCGGAGCTCGCAGTAATGGTCTGACGATGCCAAGTCCCCATTGAGCGAACGACCAAGGACTAGTAACGGAATTTAATTCTTTGGTAGGTAGATGAATTAATGGGCAAAACTTTTGGCATTGTTCTCATTTCTTCACGTAGTTCTCAACATCAGTACGCCTGGTCGGCTAATAATATCCCTGTGTTAGGGCTCGATGAGCCAATGAGCGTCCTCCAAAGTGAGCACCACAACTACCTTCATGTATTTCGGCCAAGAAGTCCTTAACTTTATCTGGGTGAACACATTCCAAATACGGCCTAGAGAGAGATTTTTTGTATAGCTTTCTCTGCGGATCCAGATAATATCGCAGGGCTTTATTCCGCAATTTGTGGGCTTCTTTCTTATCTGTTCGGAGCTACTCTGAGGAAAGAAATGCGGCAATAAGGTCCATCTAACTCGGTCTTCACTCAATGTTGTTAATCTGAATTGTTTCAAAATAAGTGGTACTCGGCTTTGGGACGAACCCTACTTCGATGGTTCGTGTGACTTCTGAGTTAATAGCAAAAGCTAGGCAAGCAAGTGCATCTGCATGCATTTTCTGATCTCGGGTTATCTGATTCAGCTCATGGTGGTCGAATTTCATGAGCAAGGACTTCTTCGTTTTCATGTAGGCTGCCATTCGGTCATTTTTAGCTGCATATTCCCCTTTTAACTAGTTGATGACCAACTTGAAGTCACAGAAAACATGTAATCGCCGTGCACCAAAATGAAGTGCATTATGAAGGCTGTTTAGCAATGCTTTGTATTCGGCCTCGTTATTTGATGCATCGAAACCCAGTTTGACTGCCTGCTCGATTATTGCCCCTTCGGGGGTCATGATTACTATGACTGCTTCGTTGCGGCATTGGTTGGATGATCTATCACAATACATTTGCCAAATGTCTCCAACATTCTCCAGTCGGGTTGAGGTTGAAGGTGGACTTGATCAGACTTGAAGTTAGCATGGCATCCTGGGAACTCGGCTACAAAGTCGGCCAGTACTTGCCCCTTAATGGCCGTTCTGGGCAAAAATTGGATGTCATATTGGCCGAGTTCCAAAGCCCATTTAGAGACTCACCTCAATGCTTCGGAGCTACGAAGCTCTGCTCGGAGAGGATAATCCGTTAATACCCCTATGGTATGAGCATGAAAATAGTGCATCAGCTTTCTAGCAGCCACCAAGAGAGCTAGGATGAGTATTTCCAATGGTAGGTATCGTGTTTCGGCGTCAACCATTGCCGTACTTACATAGTAGATTGGTCATTGCGCCCCGAGTTCTTTCTTCAGTAACACGATGCTGACCGCCCTGGTCAAATATCGTCAGATACAAGATGAGTGGATTACCTGGTGATGGGGTTGCCAAGAGTGGCACTAAACGGAGATAAGTTTTCAAGCCATCCAGTACGGCCTGGCACTCCGGTGTCCATTCAAATGCTTTGCCCTGTCGAAGTATGTGAAAAAATTATCTGTAGCGATCTGAGGAACGGTTGATAAATCTATTGAGAGCGGTGGTCATTCCCATCAATTTCTGAACTTCTTTGGTAGACTAAGGGAAGCCAAGTTCTAAAATTGCTATGATCTACCTCGGGTTAGCCTCTATTCCGTGATGGTTCACAATATAGTTGAGAAACTTGCTAGATCTGATTCTGAATACGCATTTCAAGGCATTCAGTTTCATTTTGTACTTTCAGAGAATGCCGAAAGTCTCTGCTAAATCGGCTAGATGGGCATGCTTTTCCTGGGATTTCACCACTATGTCATCGATGTATACTTCCATGGTGCGGCCAAGTTGGTCCTTAAACATAGTTGTAACCAGCCTTTGGTATGTTGCCCCTGCATTCTTTAATCCGAAGGATATGACCTTGTAGCAATAGGTTCCCCTTGGGGTCAGGAATGCGGTATTTCCCTAATCCTCTAGATGCATGAAAATTTGGTGATAACCCCTGTAGGCATTCAAGAAGCTCATGCATTGATGACGCGCCATTGCGTCCACAAGTTGGTCGATTTTGGGAAAATGAAAGCAATCCTTAGGACAGGCCCTATTCAAGTTCGTAAAATCCACACAGACGCACCAAGATCCATTTTTTTTCTTTATAACCACGGTATTGGATAGCCACATGGGATAAGTTACTTCACGAATTGCCCCGGCATCAAGTAATCTGTCAACTTTATTAACAACGGCAGATGCATGCTCGACGGCTGACCACCAACTTTTCTAAATGATTGGTTTGACTTTTGGATGGACATTTAAGCGGTGTTGGGCCACGACTGGATCCACCCTCAACATTTCATATGGTGTCCATGCAAACATGTAAATGTTGCTGAGTAAGAAGGAAACCAACTCGCGTCTTTCAACTTCGTTCAGAGAAGTGCCGATCATGAAGAACTTGTCAGGGTCCTCATTGATTTCGACCCGATCAAGGTCTTCAGTTGCCTTCTCGCTGGGGGTTTTCCCAATGCCCTCGAGGCTTTCTCGATTAGGTACTTCAATTGAGTTCACTTCCAATTCCTTTGGCCTTTTTGTAACAACAATAAAATAGCATGCCTGTGCCGATTTCTGAGAGCCCCGAATTTGCTCAATGCCATATTCAATTGGAAAGTAGAGTAGTTGATAATAGGTGCTTGGCATAGCCTACATAGCGTGCAGCCAGGTCCTTCCTATAATAAGATTGTATAGTGACAGAAGTTTGACGACCAGAAATTCCACTTCGATTGATTTGGTACCCACCCGTACCAGTAGTGTGATCTTGTCCAAAGGCTATTCGGGGTTGGCGTTGAAGATGAACAGTGGGAAATAGGCCAGTAACATATCCGAATCAGTGAAGCTGAGTTTAATGAATATCTTGTAATACATTATTTCTGAGGTGCTTCCCTGATCAATGAGAACACGCTCGATTGTGAATCTGTTCACGCGTAGCTCGATGACAAGGGGATCGGCGTGGAGGAGAGTTACTCCATCTAGGTCAGTGTCATCGAAGCTAATCTTGCTAGTTTCAGGGGACCATTTAGCAGGTGTGATCGGCTTGGACGGGCTAGATTGTAATTGAATTGTATGTATTTGGGCTGGCGACGATAGGCTGTATATCATGTGAATTACACTAAGTGGAGGTGAATCTAGCCGTAGAGCTACTGTGTTCAGTGGATTGTTCTTTCGGATATATTGCGCCAACCGACCGTCTTGCACTAACTCCTCCAGGTGGTCCTTCAGTGCATAACAGCTGTCAGTGTCGTAGCCGTGGTCCTTGTGATAGTCGCACTGTCTATCCCTCCTTCTAGTATTAGGGGGCCCCATCATCTTGGACGACCACTTAAAGAATGGAAGATACTGGACATTGGGTAGGATCTTACTAATCGTCTCCGCCAATTCCATATACTTCTTGTCTGAACGTCTGGTGCTCCTGCTATCCACTTGATACTATTCGTTCGAACGGTGCGAACACTACCCACTTGATTGACGTGAATCACGCCGGTTGTATCGTTTAGCCCGAATCTGAGGCTCAGGGCTCTTTGGCGGCACAACACTTATCGGCCGAACCAGACCAGATGGAGCCAATTTAATGACTTTTTGTCTAGCCTTGATGTGGAGGGCATCGTCTTCCACCTTGCAGTACTCCTTAACTTTCTTCATTAGTGCCCAGACTGTTTTGAGAGGTCTTCTGGTCAACAAACTTCGAAGAGGACTATCAGGATGTAACCCAATCTAGGCAATAATGGCCATGGAATCATTATAGGTATCATCCATCAAGTTGAAACACTCCCAATAGTTCGCCGAATACTCACGGAGGGCCTCTTTTGGTTTAATTTGCATCGCCCAGAGAGAGTTGACTTACTTTGGCTGAACCTTATTGGTAATAAATCTTACCCTAAAGGATTTTTGGAGCTGATGAAAGTTTTTATTGACGCCAGCTTGAGTTTATAGTACCATCTGATGACCAATGGTCCCAAGCTACTTGGAAACATTCGACACATGATGGCTTCATCATTAGCATGCAACGTCATCGCTTGTTTGTAATGACGAATGTGGTCCATAGGGTTTGACTTTCTGTCATACAGGGTGAATGTCGGTGCTTTGAACTTTTTAGACAGCACAGCCCTTGCAATGCGTTGTACGAAAGGGTCGTGCCTATCCTTTTCATCTGAACCATCACTTCCTTTCTCTCGCTTATGTTATATATACGGACTTCCCTCAGATGAGCTGGATACATCAACTCCCCCCTTCTTGTTGGGTTCCTGAGATGGCGAATTGGAATCACTACCACTATCATGTTTTCGATGTCGACGCTGTCGATCATCCTTCTTTATCTCTGGCGATCGACCCCGGTTATGACGTGTGGCCTGTTGGGATTTGGCTACCTCTAGGGCCAATTCCTTACATAAGCGCGCGTTATCGACTGCCATATCTTCCAGACGTTGTTTGTTTCGTTTTGCTCTATCCATGATCGTTTTCATAGTCTCCTACATAGAGGTTGAGGGTGAGGTTTGAGCTACTGGATTAAAGTTCAAGGCCCTTCGCGCAGTGATATTCTCCGGTCCAAGCATGTTTTTTGGAATAACATCATCTCTTGGTGTAACATCGTCTACAACGAGCACATGATCATTTGTTACACCTGCCATGAACGCACTTGAGTATTCCCACAGACAGCACCCATTGTGGTGATGTGGTTTGGAAATACTCTTTGATCTAGGTAGACACTCTTTATCCTCTGGTTGCTACCTAAAAAAGGAATGAACACTCCGATCGGGGCTACCGAAATTAGCACTCTAATGGACAAGTCAGTATCCTCTCAAGTTTTACTTATAGATTCTACTCGGCCTTGGCCTTGTTCAGATGGGTTTGGTCATGCCAAGTTTCCCTCGCTAGTCTTCGCGTCTCTCGGCATCCTCTGAGCTGCTCCTGAGTAGTCACTTTTACTTGGCCTCCACATACATATATTTTAATATATGTCTCATGTGTTAGTAATATATGCAATATTATTTTTAATTTTTCAGTTTAATAAAAAAAAATTATTATTTTTTTACATCTCTAGCATAATTTGCATGCTTATTTGTTTCTAGTATAATTTTATTATATGAGCATGATTCCTAATTTCCTACTATGATTTGCGTGCTTCTTTATTTTATAGTTTTATAATATAATTTGCATGCTTATGGAGTTTTAAATTTTTTAGTTAAAGATAACATGCTAAATATGTTCTACTTTTCTAGTATAATATACATGTTCATATTTTCTAGATTCTAGTTTAATTCACATGTTTATTAGATCTTAGATTTGTAGGATAATTTGCATGTTTTTTTTATTTTCTAGAGTTTAGTTTATGTTACATGCTTATTAGATTCTAGAATTGTTTGCATGATAATTGTTTTCTAATTCCTAGAATTATTTGCATGATTTTATTTCTAAAATTATTTACATGTTTATTGCTTTGTAGCAATTTCATATAACTCTTACCTATTAATTTTTTTTTAATTTAATTTTTTTGGAGTGATAAGGTTTTTGTAACTTGTCTAGCATCTTATTTATTTTTAGTTAATTTTGCTATTAAATTATATTGCTAGAAGGTTTAAAAAGTATATTACTTTTACAATTTCTTTCAATTATGTGCTTTGTATTTTGTGTATTTTTCTGCTAACTGTTTTTACGGGAATACCTATGTGAAAAGGAAGGGAAAAAAAATACAAAACCAAATGAATAGAATTTGGGATTGTAATAAAAACTGTTTAGACTACTAACCTTTTTTGTTAAATAGAAATACCTAAGCGTGGAAAGAGTTTTTTTGGACCAAAAGAATCCTAATTTGGATTGGCTAATTTTCTTTATATTTGAAGCGACTATTTGCTTGTGTTCTAGTAGTGGTTCGTTACCTAATATTTTGACGCAAGTTTGTTTGCTTGTAATTTTTGGGAAACATTTTTATTTACTAGTAAGTTGGATAGCAATTTTTAATTATTTGTTAAGTTTTGGAACTTGGTTTGTTTTAACCTAGTTTATCCCCTAGAAAACTTAATTCTAAATTTGTTTCCCATGAACTAGGAGTCAACATGCTCTTGAAAGTTTTGTCTAAGGTTAACTGGGTCTTAAGTGAGACAATTGTAACCCCTCTAATCTTCCTGGAAACTTTTCTGACCATGTTCAATTCTAGGGTAAGTGGTGAGACTAATTTTGAATTAAATTTTCGACTTTGGGATTTTCTAGTGTTAAGTTTAGTTTCAGGAAATATAGAATATTGAAATTCTGTTGTATTGTTCAGAAATGGTAACTGTGACTGATGATGCTGCTGCTGTTGCTGCTAATGTTGATGGGGATTAGAACCCTTGGTTAATTGGCTTGGTAACCCCTGTTGTGACCCTTGTGATCAATCATGTTGCTGTGACCTCTATGGTCAATCCTGTTGCTACTCCTGCTGTTCCGAGGGAACTGTTTAACCATCATGAGTGCCCGGAGAAGTTCACTAGAGTGAATTTCACGAGGTGGTAGCAAAAGATGTTGTTTAGCTGACTACACTTAGCTTGTAAGGTTTTTGAATGAGGATTCTCCAGTTGTGGAAGAGAATGAGCAAGATAAACAGAAGCTCACAACTCTAGATGCTTAGAAGCAGTCGGATTTCCTTTGTCGGAACTATGTTCTAAACAGCTTGACAGATACACTATGTAATATGTTTTATGCCAAGAAGTCAACAAAATAGTTGTGGGACGCTTTGGACAAGAAGTACAAAAGCAAGGATGCCGAGGCAAAAAAATTTGTTGTTGGCTGATTTTTGAACTTCAAAATGATGGACTCAAAACCGTCATTAGCCAAGTCCAAGATTTTCAAGTAATTCTGTATGAAACTCATGCAGAGGGAATGTTGCTAAGTGAATCATTCCAGGCAGCTGCTTTGATTGAGAAGCTGCCTAATGACTAGAAAGACTTCAAAAATTATTTGAAGTACAAGCAAAAGGAGATGACAGTAGAAGACCTCCTTGTCATGCTCCGCAATGAGAAAGACAATAGGAAGAATGAGGAAAGTACCTTTATTGTTAAAGCAACTATAGTTAAGTATGGACAGTCCTTGGGGGTCAAGAAGAAGGTGGTATCTCCAAGAGGTCGGTCTACAACCTGTAGGAACCTACTTTTAGATTCAATGGAAAATGCTTCAACTGTGGAAACGATAGGCATAGGGTGATTGATTGCTGCAAAAAAAAAAAAAAAAAAAAAAAAAAAGAAGAAAAAAGAAGAACCCTCCATAAAACAAAAGCTGGGCTCACATGGTTGAAATCAAGGATCTGTCTCAAGATGTAAACGACATGTATCTGTAAACTGTCGTCTCAAATACGAACATGGTGGGGTCCAACCTGAAGGAATTGTGGGTGGACATTGGGGCCACTTTGTCATGACCCAAACCCGTCCCTATAGGTTTAGTGTCGTAATCAACCAGTAATCTGTGATTACCAAAGGCCTACTTAACAGTAATACAGTAAATGGGGCTAGCAGAAGGCAATGCATAATAAATAAAAACATCCAATGAGCTGTGAGGACTTAAATGAACAATAATTTTGATGCACACATAAACACTTAAGTCTATAATACACTTAAGTACAAAGACTTAGGGAATTAAATCCCATTCTCAAAAGAAACAATACTAACAAAACTCACAAACACATTCATAACAAGTTAACATAATGTCAAAAAAAAGAGTGAATTCTGAGCAACGCGCTAAGCCTTAACACTTGATGGTTCAAAACCTCGTGATGAGGCACAGTAGTTGGCTTGACAAAACAAGATTCGGGTTGACGTTGCTAAGTTTGATCCTGTGCTTGCCCACCTACATACATATAATAAACAGTGAGCTACAGCCTTGTGAATAACAAATGTGTAAAGGGGCTTATAAATGATGTCCTTACAATAATTGAGATAGTCAATCTCATAAATGGACCATTTTCACAATCAGTATTTCTTATCATATCAATCATTTGAAATTAAGCAGTCATACGTGGTATATCCAATAGCGAAACAATACAGTACAGTAAGTCTTAAAGACCAAACAGTCATTTGATGGCCATCAATACGGTAAACAGTAATTCCAAGAATTGGAACTGACAGAGATCTTTGTAACAATAGCAGTAACAGGAGCAATAAACAGTTGTTATGGATGCCATGAATACAGTTCACAAAATAGGACAATCATTCATTCAGTAAACATATTTCAGAAAACAGTACATTTCATCGATCAGAAAATAATTCCAATTGAACATAGCTTTACAACATTGTTACTCACAATGGGCTCCCTGAATTTTGTGCTTAAAATGCGACGTCCGACCTAAACAAACAAATCCAAGCATAACTCAATTACACTCATGTCATTCAGTCATTTCTATTCAGTTCGGTACTTAT